TTCTGTTTTTTACATACGCGCGCAGGGAAAGCGGGTGTATAGGTGAAAAATGGCATGAAATTGGCATATTTAACAGAAATTAACGGGTGGAACCGCGGCTAAGCAGTTAAACGTTCATCCCGTGTCACCCGCAAAAACTGATAACAAATTGTCTCGAATCGGGGGAAAATTAATCGAGCACACCTGTTGTTACCCCACCGATATTAATTATACACCTCGACCTTAACAAACTTTTTCCAAGATGTATGGAGGGAGACTTGTCCACCGGCTGACACTCGAATCTCGAATTTTTTTCCCTCGATTTTTTCCTCGAAATTTGCTCGAATACGAGTCGTTTATTAAATTAAAAATCGCACGATCGAATATTTAAGAATTGTCGGATTATAATGGAAAAACATTGAGCACGTGGAAGCACGTGTTCAAGCACGTGTAAAAATTCTGAGGTAGACTAGTTCGAATATAATGAGTAAGCCAATTTTTAAGTAACAATTATTTTTTAAAATGAAAAAAAAAATGGACAAAATGGTAGAAGAATGGTAGATACGTTTGGTCAATGAAATATTATTATACGCGTGTGTTTGAAAATCGATGGATAATATTTATATTGTTTAAATTATTTTGTGTAAATCATGCGTTATATCTCGTCTCTAATTTAATCTGCACGTTTTAACATTTATATAAATTGATATCTCCGGTAATTCGGTAAATTTATAATTGTTCTCTGACCCCAGCCAATCAGATATCAATTGTGAATTTCCCATTTGAAAATGCGATATTAACTGCGTTTGATGTAAATCAGTACTCGTTGATACGATTAATATTTCTGGATGAATACTTGGTACTATGATATGAATTAAAAAAAAAAAAAGAACATGAAAATAAGCTCGTAAAAATTATATAAAAATTAACAATAATCGATCACTTGGATTATCCTCATGAGATAGTTCAGAATAAAAAATATATGCTTCTTGCTTAATCTAATCCAAATATATAATATTTCTTCGGTCAATCTTCGACACATCTTCGACACTCGAAACTTTACTTAAAGATTCGCGCGAGACTTCTTTTTTCAGAATTTCGATTTTGAACTTTTGAACTTTCTTTTCGTTCGTGACCTTCGTAGAGAAAAGGAAAAGAGAGAGGGAAAAAAAGGGGGCGAGAGAGGAAGAAATTCGTTTTCCTAGATGACCAAAAGGGGGAAAGGGAGGGGGGAGAAAAAGGAGAATTTTTCGATGTCGACAAAGGGAGGAGGCGGGGAGAGGGGGGATATTTATTATTGTCAGTCACGCGTGACGTGAGAGGAACGAAAAAATGTCGGAAGTTTAGGCGAATAGAGGCAGCTGTGTGCTCGTAAGCTCTGCGGATGATGCACGTGCACCGGGTGCATCAAAACTTGCAACCCTCGTTAATCATTCGTCCGCACGGATGGAAAAAGGAAAGAGAAAAAAAGGGTTGTGTGTATATGGTTCAAGGATTTTCGATTCTTGTCCCTTTTGCTTCTGATTCTTGATGCCTTAAAGGGTAAAGATAGGTGGTGCATAACTCGATCGATAATGTAGAACAATTTCTTCAATACCGATTTTAATACCAATTTTTCTCCCTTGTAAGTGTATTTGCTTGTTGGAAAGCCAAGTTCGCTTGGTCTATCTATATCTGTGAATAAGAAAATATGTTTTAAGAATCTAAATTATTAAAAATATAGTTTTACAATTTTACGTGTACTTTTGCTAATAATTTTATTTTTCTTTTCCACAAAAGATCGACGAAAGTAGATTTATAAGTGACAAGAAACATTTCACCAGCATTGTAACTCCATTAAGGGCAATCTCGCGACACTCTTAAGACATCAAATTATCATTGGACCAATTTTTTTTCTAACGGCCGTCACGAATCCTAGACAAATCTCTTTAACACCTGACTGATCGTTTTTGATAATTCGATCTCTGAGGAAACATCGAATACCTAACCTAACTTGACTTAACCCGATCTAACCCGATCTAATCTAATTTGACCTAAAATCTAACTCAATCTAACTCAATCTAACCCGACCTAACCCGACCTAACTCGACCTAACTCGATTTAATCCGATCTAACCCGATTTAACTCGATCTAATCCGACCTAACCCGATCTAATCCGACCTAACCCGACCTAAGCCGACTTAATCCGACCTAACTCAATCTAACCTAATTTGACCTAACCCAATCTAACTCGATCTAATTCAATCTAACCCAACCTAACTCGACCTAACCCGATTTAATCCGATCTAACCCGATTTAATCCGATCTAACCCGATTTAATCCGATCTAATCCGATTTAATCCGATCTAACCCGATTTAATCCGATCTAACCCGATCTAATCCGACCTAACCCGATCTAATCCGACCTAACCCGATCTAAACCGATCTAACCTGACTTAACCCAATCTAACTCGACCTAGTCCGACCTAATCCTTGGAAAGAAAGGAACATCACGCGAATTTTCGTGGCCTACTAACATTTTCGCGCTCTTTTTTCTTTTTTTCTGGTAGAAAACGTGAAGAGAGCATGGAAAAGTAGAGCGTGTATGTTTTCAAAGTAAAAAGTTGAGAATGCGCTTTGTCACCGAATCCACCGTTGTCCATGTCTGCTTTCTCCTTTGCGGTTAACGATCCATGACCTGTCGTCGTCGTCGTCGTCGTCGTAACCAGTGACGTTGTCGCGAATCTTTTGCAGAATACGTAAACGCGCGTGACAACAATATCTATTCTTGGAAAATGTGACGTTTTTTGTTTGGGTAGGAACGAATCGATCAGATATAATATTTTCATATCATCGATCAGGATTGTAAGTGGTAAGATTATAATTAACACGTACGGTGAAAACAAATGATGCTTGTGACGTGAATGATGTGTGTTTTAAGAGTGTCTACAGAACAAGCAAATATTGGTAATCGAACGAAGGATTTTTAGAATAAGAGCTAAAAACAATTTTTTGGCTGATTTAATTCAAAATGAGAATGTTGAAAATATCCTAAAATTTTCAAAAAGATAATTATCAAAATAGTCCGCGACAAAGAAGAAAAATTGTCAGCAAAAATTTTTGATGAGAGAAGTGGTTATTATGAAAAAAAAAATCTGTTCCAATATCTTTGGAACAATTCCAATAATGAGAATCTTAATAAGAATAGTCGAACTCTGAAAATTTCAAATTTTCCAAAAATCTCCAAAAGTTTAATCGTATCAAAATAATAGAAAAAAAAAATCATTTAAAATTTTCCAAAACTACCGCGAAATAATACACAAGGAATTGACTTCTCAGCAAAAATTCTCTTCTATGGAAGGTCGATGATGACGCAAGGGTCACCATGAAAAAAAAAAAAAAAAAGAACCAGCCCTAATATCGTGAGTGGCGTTGGCCACTCTGCTTTATTAGGTGGACAACAGGGTCCCCTTTGTCCCAGTTTCTTTTTGATGTGCCATTTTCCGCTTCGTTCCGTCCCATTATCCACAAATGGTCACTGCGACGCTCATTCGCGAGGGAGCGCGTGGATTTCACCCCTGAGAAAGAAAGGGTTCGCGTCAAGGTCTCGTTAAAGGTGTAAAGACCCGATTACCGGACATTATTATTATTATTATTTTTTTCCTCTCTCTCTCTCTCTCTCTCTCTCTTCCCCT